TCATGGATCGTGGCCAAGCCGAAGCTCCAAATCCAGTTCGTCTTCTTCATTTCCACCTCCATTGATGGTCCTTTTTGGATTTTGATCATGTGACCTGTAGCCAAACTGTAGGCGTAAGCTTGATGGACCTGTGATCACTCCATGAACATCTTGATGATTGTTTCCGTGATTTATAGGTCGCACGTGAGTACTTGATGTGGATGAAAAATATGGAATCTGCAGTCCCTCTCGATCACTAGGAGTTGAGAAAACCGGCTGATAGAATCTAGGGACTACATAGCAACTAGGGTCTCGATGTAGCTTACTTGAGATACTGTTATTACTCAGATCATTATTAGGGCTACCCTTAGCAGCTCTGTCTTTCCTGTGGATGTTCATGTGTCCACCCAAAGCCTGTGCTGTGGTGAACCCGCGCTTGCAGAATATGCATTCGTACAATCTCAATCTCTCTCCTGACACCACGTGATCTTGCTCTTGATGATCAGCTTCATCTTCATGATCATCCATATTGATGGAGTCCATTGATGTATCGCTTCCAACTTACATATACTTTTTAATCAAGTAAAAATAGCAGAAGATGCCTTATATATAGGGATGGAGAAACTGAGATGAGACAAGAGCTTAATTAGTCGTATTTTTAACAAGATTTATCCTTCTAATTAAGCCGGCTGTAGACTTTGTATTTGTGTATAAAGTTTTTCAATTAGTTAATGGCCACTCTGACATCTTTGTCGTGTGTGTAATAATAGGGTCAATATCAAATAATCAAACTAGAACTTAAAAATTAGAAGAATCTATTAACTTTTTTATCCGTTTCAATCAAAACATCACAAATGTGCATATATGCTTATTTGCAAGCATCCACAACATTCTTGAAAAATAACAACAAAAGTCCGTAATGTTTTGTAGCAGTGTTTCTTTTAATTAGTCTCCAAAGAAAATAAGAATTTTTTGTTCAGTGGTGATTGTAATAAAAAAGAGGCGGAAAGGTTTTTATGTCCATCGATCCATCATCCATGTCAAGAAAAAAAAAATCCAATTTAATGATTGAACGTTGAATCAACTTTTAAGGGGAGTTGTTGATTTTTTTTGTTTCTCTTGTGTTTGTACTTATCATTTGATATTAACAAGAGATGTACTTGTGTGATTTAGCAAACCAGATAGATTCATAGGGAAAAAATCTTTATTAATGGGAGAGGGTTGGACGCAGGTACGGCAGAGGAAAGCTCCAGCGAATCATCGATTTGGATTGGAAGAAACCAGTTTTTTCGTATCAAACATACCTACAGGGGCCACAAAAGATGAGTTTCGGAAAATCTTCAACTCATTTGGTAAGCTAACAGATATCTACTTTGGGGGCAGGAAAGGAAAGAATGGAAAAAACTTTGGGTTTATTCGATACAGTGGAGTCGATGACAAGAGAACACTCGAGGCAAAATTGAATGGTACGGTATGTAGGAGTAACAAGTTGGAGATTAATATTGCAAAACATGAAAGGACGTTGCCAAAGACAAACAACAGAAAATTTCAATCATCGATTCCCTTTAAGGTTAACGTTGGTGGAGGATTTGTCGGAAATAGATCCTATGCAGAAGTCGCAGGTGCTGGAGCAGAACCCGAAATACCTCAAAACCAATCTCCAGTCAATCCACCGATTCGTCTACAAGTGGATGACAGGATGATGAGGCTGACTACTGGGAATTGTCTTATCGGTGAGGTTAAAACATTAGATCACCTTGGTCACCTGCCAGCGTTGATGTCCATCTATAGTGATGCTGGGGTGAAGGTCAAATATGCTGGCGGAATGAAGGCCATCATCGCGTTTGATTCCGCGACCCTAGCAACTAACTTCTTGAAGATCGAAGACAACTGGAAAAGCATATTTAACTACTTAAAAGCTGGGGTGGATGTTGACTATAATTTCGAGCGAGTAGCTAGTATACGGATTGTTGGGCTTCCCATTCGGCTATGGTGTGAAGAAAATTTCTCTGCAATTGTCCAAAAGTTTGGGAAAATCATTATCCCCTTTGATCATATTGAAGATAGACTGGACCTCTCGGTGGTCAAAGTGGGAATTCTTACTTGTACAAAGAAAAAAATTAATGAGGAAATAAGAGTGGAAGCTGAAGGAAAAATCTTTGACGTAGGGCTGGTGGAGTATGAAGACGAACCATGGTTTCCCTTCAGGTTTGATAATGATGAACAATCGTTTGAACCTGAGACGGACTATGTAACCTCGGAGGATGAACTAGATGATGAGGTCGATGATGTCTCGGGTGATGATGAAGACGGCGTATCAGATACATGGATGGGCGATATAGAAGAAGGTGAGATAGTCGGGGAAGAAATGATAGACGGCGCCGGAGATGGCGGATGTTCCGACGACCATGGAGCAAAGAAGATCAGTCCAGCTCAAAAGTCGCCGACGGCCTCGGAATCACAACAGGCACATGCATGCTCTAGTGACGGGGAAGCGGAAACGACTCATGGGAAAAAGAAGGAATTAAGTAAGGTAGATGACTCAAAGGAAGCACGTGATGGAAAAAATAATGAACCGGGGCAAGTAGCGGGCACTCCAAATGGGTCCCATGGACCTATCATGGACCATTCATTGCTGGGCCACCACAAGCCCATTTCCTTCCCCTCAAACCTTGCGCAATCCGGTTGCTTTGGCCCATTCCCGTCCAAGGCGATTACTTCATTACCTGGTAGTCAAATACTCCAAATCCAGGCAAACGAAATAGGTCGCTCTTCAAAAAAAAGACGTCGCTCCCGTAGTAAATCGCCAAAATTCGATTTATCAGGTTTTCCAGTACACAACTTGTTCAATGAAGGTGAAGAACACACCTCAGTGGTTGGTCATCATCGTTCGAGCAGGGAACAGTCACTCTCCCCCAAACCACCTGGTTCTAACAATGCGCCAAGGACCAACGAAATTGAGGCTACAGCAGAAGTTGGAGCAATGATTGGGTTTGAAATTGATGCTACGAACAAGCTGTTGGCTGAAATTCTGGGAGGAAATGGTGAGATCAACGTGCCCTAATGAATTTTCTCTCGGTCAATACTAGAGGAATTGGGGAGACATACAAGGTGGATTGGATTAGGAGGTTGAAATCGAAACACAGGGTTTCATTCTTAGCAATTCAAGAGACCCAAATAATGGAGGCGGAAAATATCGATGTGAGGGGATGTTGGGGTGCAGATAATTTTGGTTCGAGCAGAGTCAACTCAACAGGAAGGTCAGGCGGTCTTCTAAACGTGTGGGATGACAACCTGTTCCAAACCACTGAGGTGATCTCGTCTAGACATTTTCTAATAAACATTGGCCACTGGAGCGGCGTAAGTGAGTTGTTGATCTTTGTCAATGTTTATGGACCTCAGTCTAGCACGGAAAAGGCCAAACTATGGGAGGAATTACCGGAAAAAAAGAACTAAATTGAAGGTACATGGATAATAATGGGGGATTTCAATGCTGTGAGAAAGAAAGAGGAAAGATTTAATTCAATATTTTGTGCAAAAACTGCAAGTGACTTCAACAACTTCATTCATGAGACCGGTCTTATTGATATGAAAATGGGCGGCCATCGATTTACTTGCTTCCGTAACTTGGATCTTAAATTAAGTAAACTTGATCGATTCCTAGTTTGCCCTTCTTTTCTTAATATCGTCCCTCATGCGGCTGTGACCGCTCTTCCTATAGAAGTCTCAGATCATTGCCCAATCCTATTGTCCACGTCAAGAAAAGATTACGGACCATCCCCATTTAGGTTCTTTAACTCCTGGATGCTTAGGGATGGGTTTGAAAAGGCGTTCATTTCCAGCTGGAATAATTTCATGGGGTTTGGTACACCTGACTTGTACCTAGCGGCCAAACTTAAGCATATTAAGAAGGGATTAAAAAAATGGCGTGCAACTGAACACCCTAGGGAGGAGGTTGGACTGTTAAGACTCAAGAACTTGGTACATCACTTGGATAGTGAAGCAGAGTCGAGGCAATTGACTGAACAAGAACTTGCTGATAGGAATCTGGGATACAGGTCCATTATTGAGTTGGAGATAAATAGAAGTTTGGATCTTAGACAGAAATCTAGGATCAAATGGGCTGTAGACGGGGATGAAAACACACGCTTTTTTCATGGATGCATTAATAAAAATAACAGGAAAAACCTGATTGATGGTCTAAAGATAAATGGCGTATGGTGCACTGATCCGACTAGCATAAAACAGGGGATATTTTCATTCTTTGCGAAGAAGTTCAATGAAAAATGGCCTACTAGGCCGAAACTTGTTAGTCAACATTTCAAGAAAATCTCTCAAGTAGACTCGGAAGCTTTAGAAGAACCCATTTCATTACAGGAGATAAAAAATGCGGTGTGGGCATGTGGTAATGAGAAGGCCCCCGGGCCAGATGGATTTTCTTTTAAATTCATCAAGAAGTATTGGGATGTCCTCCTCGGTGACATAGCTGCTGTTGTCAAATATTTCGAGCTCCATGGTAAACTCGATTCCTCTTGCAATTCCTCCTTCATCTCTCTAGTACCCAAAGTCAAGGACCCTCTATTGATTAGTGACTATAGACCCATCAGTCTCATTGGATGCATCTATAAAATCATATCAAAGCTCCTTTCGCTCAGAATGAAAAAAGTGATGGGGCAGTGTATTGACGAGGTGCAATCAGCATATGTCGAGGGTAGAAATATACTTGACGGGCCCCTTGTGGTCAATGAGATCTATTCATGGGCAAAAAAGTCAAACAGGAAAATTCTTCTATTCAAGGTAGACTTTGAGAAGGCATTTGACTCAATAAATTGGGAATTCCTTGATTCGAACCTGTTGCATATGGGTTTTGGGAACAAAATGAGAATGTGGTTAAGAGGTTGCCTCGGATCTGCAAGATCCTCTGTTCTAGTCAATGGAAGCCCGACTGAGGAGTTCCCATTATCGAAAGGTGTCCGGCAGGGTGACCCACTTTCCCCATTCCTCTTTATAGCAGCCATGGAGGGCCTTAGTGTTGTGATGCGGTCTGCCTGTGAGCTAGGCATTTTACAGGGTGTTAAAATTCCAAATGGAGGCCCGATGATCTCTCATTTGCTATACGCAGATGATGCACTATTCCTAGGGGAGTGGTCGAGAAAAAACATAAACAACCTAGCTCGTATCCTTCATTGCTTTCATGTCGCATCAGGGCTAAAGGTAAACTTTAATAAATCAAAAGTTTCCGAAGTCGGATCAGAAACGCAAGAAGTATCAAACTGGGCCAGTGCCCTTGGGTGTGAACCAGCTGCATTACCTTTTACATATCTAGGTGTTCCTGTCGGAGCCAACATGAATTTAAAGAAGAACTGGGAGCCGATTATTGAGATATTTCAAGCCAAACTCTCAAAATGGAAATCAAAAACCTTATCTTTTGGTGGTAGATTGACCCTAATCCAATCAGTCCTTGGTAACCTTCCAACTTATTTCTTGTCACTATTTGTAGCACCTGATGGGGTAATCCAAACTCTCGAAAAACTGAGGAGCAGATTTCTATGGGGCGCTTCGGATGATAAGAAGAAAATACATTGGGTCTCGTGGGACAAGGTGGTTGCACCCAAGGATTCGGGAGGCTTAGGGATTGGTACGATAAAAAGTCTCAATATTTCTTTATTAATGAAATGGTGGTGGAAGTTGAGAACTGAACCACATCATCTTTGGGTAGAAGTCATATCAAGCCTGCATAACCTTAAGTCGAAACCCGATGATATCTACTCAAAGAAAACATTAACTGGAGTGTGGAATAACATTGCTGACATAAGAAAGGCCCTTGTAAAAAAAGGTATTCCTGTCAGTTCTGTGATATCTAAACAACCCACAACTAATGGGGTAACTTGGAGATGTGGACTTACCTCGACGGGAACATACATGGTCCGTGATCTTAGACAAAGATGGGATTACAAGCCCCCTGTCACTGATGGCCAATTCTGTTGGCTTAAGGAAGTCCCATTGAAAGTCAATTGTTTTATTTGGAGGGCGAAAATGGGAAGGATATCAGTCGCTTCGGAGCTAGCAAAGAGAGGGGTACTTCTAGAAGTCTTGACTTGCCCCATGTGCAACGAATCTGAAGAAGGTTCTGATCATGTCCTGGTGGATTGCACTTATGCTAGGAGTGTCTTGGAAGGGGTATCAAGATGGTGTAATACACAATTGGTACCACTCCACACGGTAAAGGATGTACAGGATTCCATCTCTCAATGGGGGTGTGCAAAAAGAGGAGAAAGATAATCTTAGCTATCTATTATGGAACATTATGGAGTATTTGGAAATCAAGGAACGAAAAGGTCTTCAAGAAAAACCGGCTACTACCGGATAAAGTCACTGATATCATTAAATCAGTGGTTTATCTCTGGGTGAAAAACAGGGGAAAAATTGACAGGCTGAATTGGGCATCATGGTCTCAATGCCCTTTGTTTTTTTGAATATTCTTCGTTATGCTTTAGTTTACCTGTTTTATTTTGCTTCTGTGTTTGAACTGAACTTTTGTATGCCACTGACTGTGGCTGCTTTTTTCTCCTTCTATTAATATATCTCATTGGCCGGTTCCTAAAAAAAACAAGAGATGTACTTATCATTTAATGTTAACAAGAGATGGACTTTAATATAGAAAAAAAATACATTTTCGTCCTTAAGTTCAGCTGCAATTTTGTTTTGGTCCCTAAAGAGATTTCTTCGCAACTTTAGTCCTTATTCCAAAGTAAATTACATGTTTTACACTTTAACGGACTTTTTTCTTTACAATTTTTACAATTTATTTATTTATGAGCAAATAAAAAAGACGACCCTATGGTTTTGTCTAGGGGTGAGCATTTGGACCCGTGCACCGGATCGAACCTGGACCTGGACCTTTTTTGGATCCCCGGACCGGTTCTCAATTTTAGGATTTGATCAAAATCGATCCGTTTTTTTTACCCAGGTAAAAAACCGGTTTTGGACATGATTTAAGCTTTTGTAGTCTGTGAATTTTTTTAAACAAGCATATCTCATTCGTTTTAAGTTGGATTGACATGCGATTTTTTCCAACATGTAATTTAGAGTTTGTAGATGATTCTAGACTATAATTTTGTTGTTTTTGGTATTATATTCAATGAATTCCAATCCTTCAAAGTTGGGATATCAAGACTGAAATATTTCAACTTTTCAGCAAGAAATTTAAACTTTTGTATTCTGTGAAGATCTTTAAACAAGCAAATCTCATTCGTTTTAAGTCGGATTGACATGCGGTTTTTTCCAACATATAATTTAGAGTTTGTAGATTAATTTAGACTATAATTTTGCTGTTTTGGTGTTATATTTAATGAGTTACAATCCTTCAAAGTTGGGATATCAAAACTGAAATATTTCAGCTTTTCAATTATTACTTTTTATTAAATACTAACAAGATTTTCATTTTGTGTTTATGTAGAAAATGCACAAGCTTTAAACATGTTAAAGTTATGACAATGATATAGGGAATAGGCAAATGGAAGATTAGATTATGTCGTTTGTTAATTGGATTTATTTTAAATTTTAAATTATGAATTTTGGTGTTACAGTAATTACTTTTGTATGTTTGTGTTAAGATTGTTAAATTTTGTTGGTGCACTTGATTTGTATGTTAGGTGTTTTTATTTGGAAAATTAATTTTGCAAGTTATAATATTATAGATAAAGTTAGAATAGTTATGCATGAAATATGATAAAGTCATTAAATTATTTGATTCAAAGTTCAAACAAATTATATAAACAGTCAAAGTTTGATCGGTTCAACGGGTACAAGAAACGGAATTGTATTCATTTTTACAAGTTGTATCGTATCAAACCCAAAAACGTATTCATTTTAACGAGTTGCAACGTATCAAACCCAACAACATAATTGTTTTAACGAGTTGTATCAAACCCAAGACCGCATTTTAACGACTTGTAATGTATGCATGTAAAGTTGTACCTGTCCAACTGTGTCCAAGAACCGGAAAAACCGGACCTGGACCCGATAAGTCTCATCTGGTCCGGTCCACGGTCCATAATATTCTCGAAAACCGATACGGTCCAAATGCCCACCACTAGTTTGTCAAATTTGATAAATAGTATTTATAAGGATTTTCAAATTTTGCAGTTTTGATCTTTAATTTATTACGGTTTGGCACTAGAACTTATTGACTTAAATAAAAAGTTTTAGATAAGTTACTTGCTCTTTATTTATTGACTTATTTAAGGAGTTTTTGATAAGTTATTTCCTAATTAAACATATTAGCACCATTTGCCAAATACTAAAAAATAATTTATCTGTTTATTACATTTTGCTACTAGATAATCTCAACCAAATACTTTTTTTTAAACTTCGTTTTAACACCGAATAAATTAATAAGCAATTTTACTAAACAACATAAGTTTTTTTAAATAAGCAAAGGTTATTGCCATAAACGTCCCTAAGTTGGTCGTGAGAGGCTTTTGTCCCTACAACGATTTTCGGTGTGATAATGCCTAACATTTGAGGTGTTTTTTGTCAAATATGTCATTTAACAGGTTAGTGGTCTTGTGGCTATAGACCAAGATGCAAACTCCTGCGTCGTGACCCACCCCCACCGCTGCCCCTGATTGTTCATCATTATAATCTCCTTCACCTCTCTACTCTCTAAAACGTGAATCATAGCAAAAAAGATAAAAGTTATGGTTTAGGTTTCATTCCTGTTTAATTTCAGGTTTATGCACTTGCATTTGAGTTTGTGCATTTGTGTTGCTAGGGTTCTAATTTCATCCATGATTTCAGAGTTTAATTTATGGTCATGATATTTGAGTTTAAGCACACATTGCAACGATCTAGGCACTGAGTTTAGATCTAGGCAAGAAGAGGAGGTGGTGGTGGACGATGCTAGTGTAGATATGGCGGCAGTGGTGGATTTCAATAATGGTGGCGATGGTGTTTGATGGTGATGGTAATACATATCACAACATGCACAACGGTGGTGGTGGTTTCTGGGTTATGAAGGAACCAACTTGATATTCCTTGAGGCTAAATGGAGAGTGTCACCAGGAAACCGGTTAATGGCCTGCTAAATGACATATTTGACAAAACACCCTAACTGTTAAGCATCACCACAAATAAAATCGTTGTAGAGACAAAATTGTCATACTGTGACAAACTTAACCCATTAAGCAAATCCCAAACACCCCCTCAAGTCTTGTCAAATAGAGGTGGGGGTTTTGGTTTCTTCAACTTGGGCCAACCTCGGATTTCTAAAACATACATGAGCTAGCCAAGCCGGAGTTCCAAAATTTAAGGCTTGAAACGAGCTTGGCTAGGCTCGTATAAACCCCTAGCTAGGTGACTACACTAGTTATTTTTATGTATTTTTATCTATCATAAAATTTTAAGATATAGAAATTCAAGAGTCATGACAAAGCACATATAGGGTCATAGGTGTGTTACTATTTAGTATTTAGTCATCGACAATGAACTCTAGAGAAGTTTTATCAAGTGGCTAGATATAAAGATCTACAAAACTGGAAATAGTATACGAGTGGGATGTGTGTGGTTAGAAATTCAAAACCCCTATTAATTGATTACACAACACAACTGTACTACAGCTTATAATAACTAATGCTAATTAATCATACAAAAGAATCGATACCTAGGACACTGCAAGAAACTGAAACTGAAACCGGAGTTGAAACGAAGGAGCGGAGGTCAATATCCGATACACCAATCGGATCCATTGATCTCGTCAGCTCATCTGTCGAGAACGGTATACTGCATGCATATCATATCCCATCACAATCTTTAAGTCAGCAAGAACAGCTTATTGCAAGGGCAATGTTGGAACAATTTAATTGAAAGAACGGAGGAATTAAGGGTATTACTATTAGTAAAAATTTATTCTGATAAACATGATAAAATATAACCTTGAATCATCATCAAGCAAGAAGGAGTTATTGGCGATGGCATTATTGGAATCTTGGGTCATTAGGATCCTCATGTTAGAAATAACCTGTCAGCCACTGATCACTGTTAGATATATAATATATATATTTAAGTTAGTTTATTATAAAATGATGGATATTGAGAGTTACTTCAGGCGAAAGGCTATGCGTGCCATTTTTGTCATCCCAATACATTGTACTGATTCTGTATAGCTGTTGTATACTAAGCATCTGCACATGCAGGTGAGGTGTCATAAGTAACACTTGAAGATGGATGCAATTATTGTGTTTACTAATTAAAATCTCAAAGACTTACAGGACACAGATCATAACTTATTTCATGCAGCGTCCTCTTTGGCTTTTGCTGGGTAACCTAAAAAGACCAACATCACCACTTACTTTGAATACCGCAGTTTCTTTTGTTGAATAATCATATTATGTATGTATATACATAATACATGATTATTAAGCAATAATATATATATATATATATATATATATATATATATATATATATATATATGCATACCAGGAATGCAATAGCTTGTCGTATGTGCTTCAGCTCATCCCAAGCCGATCCAGCATACTGCGTCGTTAAAGTCAAGGGAAAGAATATGTATATATGATTTTATGAATATTATATTACCTCGTCAGTTGCCTTGAGGCACCAGAGTTCCAATATAGCCAATCCTGATCTTACGTATTCTCCATTACTATAAGAGCAGCATTCGCGTCTCAGTAGAAGGCTGCAGCAGCCAAGGACAAATTAGAGAATTAAAATTAAAATTCAAAACTGTCAGCTTGCTGTGTTGTAAGTTGAGACCTGTTGAATAACTGGACGTTGATGAAAGCAAATATCTGTGTGAACACTTGGCGAATCAAAAACGAAGGTACCTACACATTAAAGATTGATGGAAATGAAATCAAGCAAGGTTTTGGCAGGGTAGTTAACAAAGATAAATGCATAATAAACTGACAAAATTAGCCTTCAATGTGTTTAGCAAGCATCCAATTTTTGTGACGATTCCTTGCCACTGAGCAAGCAAAATCTCATGAGAAGCAGCATTTGCTAGTGCACGAGCTGCCCCCTTTGACAAGTTTGCTTTGGAAATTCTTGGTGCCTACATTCACACATCATATATATATATAACTTATAACAAATACCAGATAAGATACATATATTAGCAGTGTTTGGTAGTCTAGGACCGGATCAGATCTGATTGAGTCAGCATGGGTTGTGTGTGTCTAGGACAGACTGAATCAGAGGCCTCTAATTGTGGTATCAAACCGTCTGAACAAGTTAAGAGGCATATCCCTTAAGTAAGTAAATTAAAAAGAGTGGGGGGTATAATAAATAAATAGTACCTGAATGCACAAGCCAAGTAATGGAGATATTTCTCTTTTTAAATTATCGCGTATCAAGCCGTATGTTTTTTCAACATATGCTGTCAGTTGCTGCTTGAAAAGCAAAGCAGGGTATTTGGGTTCAAGCTGGCTTCCGCCAGGTGAGCTATCACCAATATCGTTTATAGAAATTGCTACACCATGAGGACTTCCACTTCCACTTCCACGAAAGCTCTGTCAACCAACCAACAAATTTCATTCATATACATTTTTTTTTAATTTTAAAATATATACCTTACCTGATTCCTTTTTACTAGTAGAGGACCTGATCTTGGGCGTCGATGATGTGGCTGATCCCCACTAGCTTTGAGTGTATGCTGTAACAGCAGCAGCAGTGTTGATGCATTGGATAACCAATAAGCTAAAACATCACTGTTGTCTTGTGCCTTCATTTTCAAAAAAAATCAAAGCTAGGTTATAACACAAGTACTATAAATACCTCAATGGCTGAATCAATGATACTACCTACCTCAATGGATCGGCCTATGGCTTGGATTATGCGATCAAAAATGGTGGTTTTTTCAGCTTCAAAGGATCGCCATTTCCTTAGACATTTGTATATGATGCAAGCAGCAATGGGTCTGCCATTGGGAAATCCCATCCGTTGTGCAATGCATCGATTCACCAGATCCTGGCATTCCTGTTTCTGATCATCACCACACTTCTTTACTCCCTCCTCTACATCCGAGTTTTCTCTTGAGTGTGTTGCACTTGCACAGCTATGTCGATCCTGTTACAATTTTATTACAATCTAATTCTACTTGTGTTCATGAAAAACAACAAGGAGCAATACCTTAAAGGACCTTGAGTGTCCTTCCTGGAGTTTCTTAATCTGTGGCAGTGGTGATGCTGATGCTGAACCCGGCTGCTGCTGATGAAGACCTGGATTATGTGACTCAATGTCAGCCAGCTTCTCCTCCAGCCTAATTGCACAAACACAACAATTCATAAACCACACATCACAAAAACAGTTTGCTATAAATAAAGCATATGAACAACTTTTGTATCTATGCAAGCTACTCATTTGTTACTAATAATATATCATTTTTCAATACATGCAAAATTATCAAAAACCAGGATATGTTTACTCTAAAAGCATATAAAATGTATTTTGATCATGCTTTCCATCATCTCTATGACTATAAGCATGGAGTGATATCCTTCCATGCAATTTGCCCTAATGTATGTGTCTGCATAAGGAGAGTATTATATACCAATAGAACTAGAGGTTGGTTGCACTTGCACTTATCATTTATATATGATTCTAGCACTAAATTAACTCAAACTGGACCTATTTTTGTTTTAAAGTTAGAACTGGCCTGATATTCTGGATTTGGTTAGAAAGAAGTTTATCCAGGGTCATAACTCTAACTAGAGAATTTTTCTTACTATGAAAGATTTTGCAGCAATGATACCTATCCAAAGATTCCTGAAGTTGAAGCACTCTTCTTTCAGTTTCTTCTAACTGCATCCGCTTATACTCACTTGATTCCAGAGCTTCAGTACACTTCCTATCAGATTCATCTGCCCTTTGTCTTTCCCACTCTGATAAAGCCTGCATGGCATAAGTACATAAGAACTACTAGTATGCAGTAGCAATGAGAGAGAGAATTTCTAGGAAACCAAGAGTACCTTCAAGTTTTTAACTTCTGAAGTCAAACTAGCAATCTTTTGTGTGTCTTCTACACGAACTGGAATTTCTTTGACAACTGAGGATGCTTCTTCAATTGCTTTCCGTGCAGACTCCCGTTCCTTAACAAGCAATGCATTTGTTTCATCAATTTTATTCTGCATAGCTTGCATGGAGTTTTGCAAATTCAGAACTTCCTCATCTTTTGCTGCTTTTACTTCTTCGATTGCTTTCTGTGCAGACTCACGTTCCTTGACAAGAAACACATTTGTTTCATCGAGTTTACTCTGCATAGCTTGCAGGGAGTTCTGCAAATTCAGAATTTCCTCATCTTTTGCTTCTTTTGTTTCTTGAATTGCTTTCTGTGTAGAATCGCGTTCCTTGAGAAGCAATGCATTTGTTTCTTCGAATTTATTCTGAATGGATTTCAGGGAGTTCTGTAATTCCAGAATTTCCTGAACTTTTTCCTTTTTGGCTTCTTCAATTGCTCTCTCTACAGACACACGTTCCTGAACAAGCAATTCATTGGTTTCATCAAATTTACTCTGCATGGCTTGCAAGGAGTTTTGCAATTTCAAAATTTCCTCATCTTTTGCTTCTTTGGCTTCTTGAATTGCTTTCTGGGCAGAATCACGTTCCTGGGAAAGCAATGCATTTGTTTCATCAGCTTTATTCTGCATGGCTTGCAGGGAGTTCTGTAATTTCAAAAGTTCCTGATCTTTTTCTTGAATTGCTTTCTGTGTAGACTCTCGTTCCTTGACAAGTAATGAATTTGCTTCATCAACGTCTTTTTGCATGGCTTTCAGGGAGTTCTTCACTTTGAGAATTTCCCGATCTTTTGCTTCTTCCAACTCAATCTGCACCATACAGTGCTCTATTTTGTCAGATTCAATTATACAAGTTTTTTTTATATTCGATAGAGCAATCATAAATACAACCCACCCACACTAATGGCAACAGGAATGTTGTTTTAAACTGTCAGTAAGAAAAAAGACACATTATCTTTCAAATAGACTAATATTACCTTCAAGCATTTTTCTGACTCTAAACGTGACGTGAGCTCTTCCACTTGTTTTTCAAGATTATCCTTCACTAGTTGGAGTGCACTAGCTTCCTTTGCCGCCTGTATATGTTTAAAATTTATATATATATATATATATATATATATATATATAGAGAGAGAGAGAGAGAGAGAGAGAACAATAATATAGATATAGATTGATCAGATCCCGTTAAAAACTGCAATTAGCAAAACTTAGCTATTCTTTTATATAAAGCACATGCAACAAGAAACAAACCATCTTTCGTTTGCGAAGCTCTTTCCTAGCAATTCTCCCCTTCCACCTACATTGTGTAACAACTGCTGCACTTATCAGTTTCTTATAGTATGAAGAATCTCTATAACCACGCCAGTGGGCCTACAATCATAAATTCTTATTAGAAAGTATGATAAAGGTTTAGATCTATAACCAATGTGAGGAAACAAGGGCCTGACTTGTAAACGAGTTGCTGCCTTGCTTTGTTTTCTGAATCTGAGATGTTTACTAGCAACCATTGAACGCAGACGTGCTTGGAAGAGGACAACTGACAGCTTTAGTTTGTTATAGGTCTTCATTGACAGGTGTCGCCTGTAGAACGTCTGTATTTTAAGCGTAGCAGCATTGTTTTTCATGTGTTGATACACGTTACATGCAAGCTTTCCTAGTGGACATAACATAACACCACAATGAGAGTTGGTCATTGGGATGAGAAGTTATATAATATAATATATATACAGCTGAGCATAGATGAAAAGTAAGGAAATACTTCTGCAAAATGACTGCCAGACAATAGCAGACTGTCTCAAAGCAAGAAAATACTTCCTAGCAATGTAAGTTTTTATCTGTCTTTGTATAATCTTGGCTGTGCTGCTAAGCTTCTGTGCTTTTCGTGCATCTAATTCAGCCATCTGACCAGCTCTAAGAAAAACTTTGGTTTTCCCTATCTGCAAAATTATTGAGATTTCACTTAGTTCATACAAATGTTAACAACAGTTGACTGAATGCTAAAAGAAATCTTGCATTCAGAAGAAAAAGGAACTTTTGGTACCTGATATCCCTGAAGCCCTGATTTGGCCAGGATCTTTTTGCAGGCAACCTTCGGATCATAACTGTAGAGAAATAACTCAAGTTATGAGACCATTTATCAGTTTTTAAACGATGTGTGGTGTTAAAATGTCTTTACTTACTTCTCACTTTTAACCTCGGGAGCAAGAATGCTGAATCTGGTAACAAAATCAGAAAAACTCTTGCGAGTAGGATAGCCAGCACAGCTGATGCGAATTGCTTCTAGAACCCCCTTAGTAATAAGAAAAGAAAAATTATTACATGTTTAATGAATTTACTATTAAAGCTTAAAATATATCTATTTCAAATCTGATTAGTGCTCACCCCACAACGTAATTGTTGCATAATGTTGACATTCTCAAAGATGCCAGGCTTAAGAAAATTATTTGGCTTCACACATCTGATATAGTGGGGTTCTGTGCAATTCAATGTTTCCATCAACTGCTGAAGTTGTAACTGCATGCATTAACAAAAAGATCATATCAACTTATGACCAACATAACATGACATTAAGGAATTTTTTTAAAGATAAAAAATACCTTGAAGCGAGAACCAATTGATGAGAACTTAGAAGATTTGTTTGATGATTTGGTTGTCTCCTCAGCCAATGGAGGGAAAAGGCCTGATATAAAAAGGCACTTGGAAGCAGTCAACATATCTTGATGTTCCGGAACAACATAATCTTTGTTTTTGTCTAGAAACTGCTCAGATTGATATTGAACCTGAATACAAACAGAAAACAGATATAATTAAAAATAAGAGGCCTTGAAATGTAGAAAGAGAGTACCAGATCTATTCAAATCACCTCTCCTGCATAGTGAGCAATGGTGAAACCAGTGCGAGACAGTTTTGGTTTGAAAAACCGTTGATGAGATTTGAATGTCTGATAAAGCTTCTGTGAGAATGTTTCGTGAGTCGACTTGGGAAACATACTGGAAACAGAAGAAGTATGTCATCAGCTAACAAGCAGCGATTTCAAAAGCACATATAAGCTGAAGAACACTACATACCAGGCCTCATCAAGTAGTGCAATAATCCCACCAGGTTTCTGCAATCATAATTTAAACATTAATCCAATGTTGAAGCCATCATATCATGATGGAATGCACTCTCAAATTATATGAAATACCTTTTCAATAAGATCTAGAACATCCTTATTATCTATAAACTCTATGTAGCTCCAGTCAATTGCTTCTTTGGTATATTCTTCTTGCTCGGTCTTGAATACATGCTGTATGGAAGTACAAAAGAAAAAACCCAATCATGGATTCAGCAGAACTGTCAATCATTAAGTCAGAAATACCAAAAGTCAAACCTGGTTGAAATGTTGTTGCAGCTTCTCATTAGTGTAATTAATACAAAATTGTTCAAAACTGCACAATCCAAACAGAGTTACTAATGAATCAAGTCGCCAAACAAGGCGTTCCATTGATGATTATTTCAGCACATAAGATTACCTATTAGATTTAAAGCTCTCAAAACCATATATGTCAAGAACCCCAATCAGATATCTTGAATTTGGATCTTGCCCAATTGACACATTAATTTTTTCCACTAACCTGCAGATATGAATAACCATGAACCTTTAAGACTGCTATAGTAAATATAGTATCTAATCGTATTTATTGACTGCCATCTTGTATTTAGGCTGAAATTACCAGTCAAATAAGCGGGAATATAAGGTCTTTGCTAGACCATCTCTACTAACAGATGCACCCTCAGGATTAAGACTTCTCTTGATAACTTCTTCAGGGGTAACCATCACACGCTTCAGCAGTGCATCTTCCATTTCATTAAAATCACACCTAACAATCATTAACAGATATATTATTTAGTGATGCACACACATCAAATTAATTGAATCTGAACACAAAGGAGAAAACACACATTAGCAACTCTGATGTGGTCTGAAGATGGAATTTGGATTTGTCGTCTTTGAGGACGGAGGAATCAACCTCTTTCCCTTTTGAAAATTCAACATTTCCAAGATGGAGAATTGAAGCCAGAACTCTGAAAATTGCATCCTGGAGTAGGTGAGCATGTTATAGCAGTTCTGTGACTTGTATTATCATTTATCAAGAAAGCAAATTAGCATTATATGAAGATACTATAACCTGTTCCTTTTCATTCATTCCAACAACTGCCATGGCTCTCCTTGTGGCAAGATAATCACGGGCATCGCTTACATCATCAAGCTCATAGCACTTTGATTGATTCAGATACCGATATGACTTAGGGTCTCCCAGTTTATATTTCTTAATCTCCTGAATGAAATATGTTGTTAGAAACTAGTGTTACGATTTTATAAAAATCCAAAGCCTTGGTCAAGGAAATGTGATAATTGTAACTAATGCATGTAAAAGTAAAACAACCTCTGGAGGTGCTGCACAGAGAAGATAGAAACAGTGATAGTTGCGTTCAGGATCTGAAATTTGGCAAACACGAGATCTTTCTAGAAGGTATGTGCGGATGGCTGCTCCAGATATTCGCCCTTGGTTATCAAACTGAATCTCAACAAATTTACCAAAACGACTGCATTTACAAATATATCAGGATTTTTCAGAGCCTATGCAATTATTATTAACTCATATCATACAATAACTTTATAATGTGATCAACACCTGGAGTTGTTATTTCTAACAGTTTTTGCATTCCCAAATGCTTCCAGAACTGGATTCGACTGCATTTATAACAACATATAGTTAAGAGGAACATAGAGCAAAAAAACTAATATATAAAAGCCATGGTATCAAGTTTCTTACTTCAAGAATTTGCTGTTCAACAGTTCTTCCTTCAGTGCCTTTACGACCACCCAAAAAGGCAAGATATTGCATAAGCATTTTAGTAGTCTCAGTTTTACCTGCACCACTTTCACCACTGACCAAGATCGAGTTGCTTTTTCCTTCATTAACCATTGCCCTGATAGATACATTATAGAATAAAGAATGTTAATCCTGTGTACAAGAAGTATATATGTAGAAGTAGAATAGAAAAGAAAAAGAAGAGGTGGGGAGAGGAGAGGAGATAACCTAAAAGCAGAATCTGCAATTGCAAAAACATGAGGATCTAGCTCCCCAAATGCTGCTCCTTTGTAGCGTTGCATCATTTTATCATCATACAAGAGGGGCAATCTTTTAAATGGGTTAACAGCGATAAGGATGTTGCCAGTATATGTCTGCCATATGTCAGAATACGATATAATATTATGACACAGCCCCCCATAGCTGCAGTATAGTTCATGGTTTTCTCTCACCAGATTGAACAAAAATAAAAATTAAAAATTAAAATAAAATGGAAGTTGGGTATCTAATCTTTCTTACATATATTTCATTCAGCTGATATCTGGTAGCTAAATTTTGCAACACTCCAGGCTCATGCAAATAAGAAAGCTTAGTCATGTCATCAACTCCACCAGCAGTAGCTTCCACATCTTTGGAATATATTTTCGATAAATTCGCAACAACCTTCAATGGCAAATTCCATTATCCATCTTTGTTTACCAGAAAAAATAGGGAATTTAAAACTGAAAATCAACCAACTTACTTTCTTCCCATCAGTAGTTTGGATCTCAACTTCCTCTCCATTTATTTTTAACACCTCTCCATCTATCCAAGCAACTGATGGGTCTTCAACCCATACTTCGGAACCTACGATAATATTTGTCGTAGCACCCTGCATAAAAATGCAGCAAGTTCATAATATGCATACAAGTTTTGCATGTTGCACTCATTAATTATTGCAAGATACTGTGTATAAGTATAACAATCATCCATCAAGTGTATTTCCCCCTATCTCTCAACACAGAGAGCCTGGCTAATTGTAATTAGGTGTCTCTAACCTTGACTCACACAAAGTGCATCCACATTAACATTCCATCCAGCTTTTAAAAATAAAAATTTGAGTCCCCATATTGGACTAATTCTTCTAGCTGATGTTATTTATCTTGGAATAGCTTGAATTTGCAAAACCATATTTTATAATATTACATCTGCTTGAAGTAGTACACTTCACATTAGAATAAAATGAACAAAAAGACTAACTTACCATGTGTGACTATGGGCAACCCCCTTTTGGTTTTGAAAAGGTTGAATCCAGTGTAATCTATAACTATAATACATGAAGTAGAGGCCAATAGAGAATCACACAGTTTAATTTACCCTAAAGTAAACCACAATTCTTAACCTGTGAGTTAATTAAGGGTTGGATAGCCAAAAAAAAAACAGGAAGCTCTAAGTATCATTTGTATACAAGTATAATAGTTGATATATGCACACACATAAACATTGTAACCTTAAAACAGTTTATCAGAAGCATTCATACCATCTGTATATCAAAATTTAAGTTGGATTAGTTCAAACTCCTCCATCAAGATTCCATCATCCCCGTCCCCTATCTTATATCGGACTCCTTCACCGTAAGAAAGTGAGTGCAGTAACTCATTCATGACGTCGTAACAAATCCCTAAGAATGTCAATACCACAAAAAGTCAACAAAAAGACTAACTTACCATGTGTTATGTGACTATGTCAAGTGTACTACTTCAGGGTATTTACAACATGTATTATGTATATTACCTTTCTTTAATTATAATTGCTAATGAGGTAAAACACAAGTATAGAACATGTGATCTACAGCCAACAAGTTTATGATCCAATATATTATGAAGATCCAAATATATTATTATGATCCAATAAATTATTAATATCCGAAAATAATATGATTCAAAAGTATATAATGCTCCAACTCCAAAAACATGATCCAATTCTAACAATTTTATGATTCAGCGTTTCTAAGTTTTTTAGTATCTCTTCGACAGCCACACCATTTTTTATTTTCCAAAAGCATGTTATTCTCAGCTTGTTAATTTCATTCGTTAAATGTAGAAAATAGATGACATAGATAATTACAAGTGTGAAATTATGATTGCTAATGACTAATGAGATAAAACATATATAGCGTTGTAAGATCATAATCCTTAATGGCTGATAATATAGCTATAGAAAATTATATTAACATCTGTTATTCACCCTAGCTACATACACAACCGAACATTAAAACTAAAAAATATAATAGAACAAAAATTAGAAAATCAAACCATTAAACTATATAAAGATTCTTAATAATATGAACATATATACTAAAATTGATGAACATCATAAACTTAAAATTTTGCACAATTTCACGACCAAACTAATCACATTAAATTCGACTAAAATAGTTCAATACATATCGATGGAAGGCAAACGGGCAACAATTTCACGAACCCTAAATTCATAATAAAAAAGGGGAGATTTTGATCCGCCAAAATTCCTAATATTTAAACAGCAAAAGATTTCAATGTAATTCATGCGCATATTGCATACAATCTAACAAACAAAAAGTGTTAATCACATCTCACCTTCATCGGGAAGCATATTAGGTATCCCTTATTAACAGGGAACTGGATTTCGGTCTATAAAAAACAACAAGTATGCATCCTTGAGATGAAGCCCAAAGAATGTGTGGTGGAATTTCGCTAAAATCTCATCGGAATTGAGCATCGAGATCCAAAGGAAAACCACGTCGGCAGCTCCACGAAGAGGTGAAAACCCTAATTTCTTTTCTGTAGATTCATCAAATACTGTTGCTGGATAATTTTGGAAATAGGGAAAGGGGAAGGATTTTAGTGACTTATAAAAGGTGGTGCGATAGATCAAGAGAGATTAGACCGTTTATGAGTCGACAATGGTGTAAACAGACAAACCAGTGACGTTAGTTTATTATATTATATATATATATATATATATATATATATATATATATATATATATATATATATATATATATATATTATATAAGGGACTCTAAAGTTTACCCATTTTAAGTTTTGGCCACATTTATTTAAGGGTTTGACAGTTTCATCCTTCAGCTATTGATTTTTGTCACTACCGCCTCATACGCATATTTATCTTTTTTTGAAGAACAAGCTTACGATTGCAGAGCATAGTCACCGCCTCCACCTCCTACCTTCCTCTTCGTTCTTGTCGATGCTTCCACCTCCTACCTTCCTCTTCGTTCTTGTCGATGCTTCCACCTCCTACCTCCCTTCAGCATCGTCTTCCTCCTCTGCCTAATCACTATCAGTGTCTCCGGAAGGCAGGAATGACCACCAGCTTCCGATGGAGGTAAGAGGATTTTGTCGATGTTTTTTTTCACAGTTTTTCAAATTTTGCCGTTTCATTCTAAAAATTAGAGTTTTTGACACGCAAATGAAAGTGTTGTATTGACAATCGGTACATTTCACATGATATCTTTAATTTTCGTTTGCTTTTCATCAACTAATTTATGGATTTCATGGGGATGCGATCATCAACTCTAGGAAGAAAAAGGAGCGTTGATACGATTTGCGTCAGGTCAATTCATTATGTATTTTCTCAAATAGCTTCGTTGATGATTTTTTAATTTCAATTTTCAGGTTAATTGATTCTGCTGGCAATCTTTAATTTCATTGATTTTTTTGTTTATTGATTTTTGATTTATGATTAGGGGCGCTTTTGGTTCTAAAGAAATCACACTGTTGTAACTTCACGGGTTGGATGATGAATTGGATAATCTTTATGGCCCAACTTTTTCTTTCCGTTCTCTTTCTCCTTCTCCATTTCTGATTTTATTTCTTCTTTTGCTTCAGTCTCTTCCTTATTACATTATATTTCTTTTGGTTTGACTTAATCTAGGGGCCATGGACATAGATTTTCCAATGGAGGTTAGTCCAACTGAGGAGAATGTTGAAGTATTAATGCAATAATTGAAAGATGTGATGGCATACAATTGACATGAACTTGAAGTAGCGTGTGGACATTATTGATTCCTCATCAGATAGTTTGGTTTACAAAGGGACCATGAAAGGTGGGCCCGAAATCGCGGTGATATCACTTTGCATCAAAGAAGAGCGTTGGACTGGCTATCTTGAGCTCTACTATCAGAGAGAGGTAACAAGAACCAAATATCCTTTATAGAGATGGAAAAATAGGTTGAACAGTTTGTTGCCTATTTTTTGAAAGTTGTAGATGCTTAACGTATTAGATATGATCAACAGAACTATACCTTTATTATAATCAACTAAGAATTTTAGAGGCAATTTGCATGAATAGCAATGTACTTTATTCGTTTTGCCAATATAGGCAATGCACTTGAACTTTTACCCATAATAACAATGTGATTACATTTTCACAACCATAAAAGCAACATGCTTATATCTTTTTAATGATAATAGTAATGTGTAAACTTTAATAGCAACATACTTACATTCTTTTATACACAAGAGCAACATACTTACATTCCTTACCGATAACACTGCTATTATGGATAAAAAATAAAGTTTATTGGCCATATTGGTAAGGAGAGTATAGTTTCTTAACTTTTTCCCGTTTGATTGTTGGAAATAAAGTAAATCCAAAATAGAATCATTTTGTGTAAATAGATAAGAGTTGTCACCTTTAATCTCTTTTTATCCTGAATCTTTATCTCATTCGTTTTTGGTTAAATTCTTGGAAATTATTCAGGTGGCGGATTTAGCAACACTGCAGTCCTCTGCTCAGGAGAATACGAGCTGGTAACAAGTCTCCACCAATCATTCGCTTCGGACCTCAAAAGGTTCAGAGCGCACCTGACCTTCTGGTCAGCTGGGCAAGAGCAAGTGAAGAAGCACCCCTCAATGTCAGACAGCCACCTTATGGTTGTGATCGGATCCTTAACTCTGTCGAATGTTGTGGGTTTCGTATTGTCGAAGTCCCGATACTGGAAGACCCTCCCACCACCAACCCCAGCAGTGGCAACAGCTTCGGTAGTTGCAGCAGTAGTAACCTCAGATGTTGGGTTTTAGTTCAATAAAATAGTTTCAAAAACTACAAAAATTGGCAAACGGAAGACTTTAAATTTAGAACATAACATAAACATTTTATACCCACCTTGGGGCCTCGGTTTTTGCCCTTAGCTTTCCCTTTGTGAGGTCCCTTGCTTTTGCTCTTGGAAGTTTGACCAGCTTCCACCATATGAACCTTAGAAGATTCAACTTCACTGCCTTTTTTCAAGGCCATTCGATTGTCTTCTTCAATGCGAAGACGCACCACCAGTTCCTCCACATACATCTCCTTTCGCTTATGCTTAAGGTAATTTTTGAAGTCTATCCAACCAGGAGGAAGCTTTTCAACCATTGATGCAACTTGGAATGACTCATTAAGATCCATCCCTTCTGCATTGTTATCATGTATGATGACCTGAAGGTCTTGGACTTGACTCATAACAAATTTTGAGTCAACCATTTTGTATTCCAAGAACTTAGCAACAACATGCTTCTTAGTTCCAGCATCTTCTGTCTTATACTTCCTTTCCAAAGACTCTCATAGTTCCTTAGCAGTTGCAACTTTAGAATAAACATTGTAAGGTGCATCAGTTAGCCTATTCAACACATAGTTGCGACACAGAAATTCTGAATGCTTCCATGCATCCACTGCATTCATAGATTGAGCATCAGTCTTCCCCTCAACAATTACAGGAGCAGTTTCTGTTAGGAACCGAGCCAGGTTCAAGGTGGTCAAGTAGAATAGCATCTTCTGCTGCCACCTCTTGAAGTTCAGACCAGAAAATTTTTCAGGTCTCTCAGCATGATTAGTCATGATGTTTGGAACTGGTGCATTTGGGTTCACAGCAGGGGTAGCACCAGCAGCAGGAGTTCCAGTAGCAACGGGAGTTCCGGACATTCTGAAAGAGTCGTAACCAATGTTAAATAGATTACAGGAAAAAATCGATACAAAATCGATAAAAGAACAGAAAAACGAAAGGTTTAGAACAAAGAATAAAATCTGTTTAAGTCTGTTGGTGTAAGGACTTCGTTTTTCCTCTTGAACGGGCCTACTGATTATTTATTTTTTGAACGTGGTTGATTCAAGTTACCACTTTCTAGCCCGTTATAATCCAACACCTTGATCTAATTTATTGTTGGTGTAAGGACTTCGTTTTTCCTCTTGAAAGTTTTTTGTAAAGAAAAAGATTAGTAGCAAACGTGGTGGCTGAGGCTCGAGTTGGACTCGATTCCCTTAAACAGATTCGCCGTCTGTTCCCAGGGTACAACAACCTTAACAGTGGTGTACTGCCGGATATTTTACTTGCCTGAAAGAGTCGCCGGAAGCAGGAGTACAGAGAAGGAGGAGAAAGAAGAGTGTTTTCAATCGTGTGTTGAATGAGATGGTAAACTTGAATCATGTAATGGAAACAAATCAATGATTGATTGAGCGTTTAATGCCAATAAATGTCATTAAATAGGGACCAAAACTATCAAGTTTAGCAAAAACGAGGGTAGCGGGAGCCCGAGTTTTTCGGAATGTCGCGCCCATACACAAGTTCGGTGTTTTTGGTCTACGAGTTATCGGTGTTTATACTAAATTATCGTAAGAATTGAAGGATGATCTTACTATCACTATGATATTTTTGTGATCAGCCCTTTATAAAACTCTTCAAAACCTTTCGTTCCATTTATTCTTTTATTAGAAATTTTTATTTTTAAAAGAATTCTTCCTGTAATTAGATTGAAAATGAACCGTTTGAAAACTCGCCAGAAGCAAAGGCGTCAACGTCATGAAGTACCAAACGGCGTAATATATCCAGAAACTTATTCCAACGAATTTTATGACCCAATCAATCCATAGCAGCCGCTGACCTTTGCGCGAAGCTATATTGGCCAAGATTTACGCCACCGCCTCCCGTCAGCCACCGCCGGCCGACCCTCTTTATGCACGTATGCAAATTGCCTTTCGTATTTGTTAAGGTTGCATCTCTAGGTTCGATTCCCCTGTCCGAAGGTTAATTTCTTTCACCCGTAGATACACCTTTGTCCAGACATTCGATTATATTTCTGAATTCTTTACTGTTAATAATCGATGTACATCGTGGATATTTTCATAGAGAGTGTTTCTATTATTTGTGATGCCTCCTCCATTGACATCTTCTTCATTCACTAGCGGTGCAGAATTTCATACAGAAAATCCAACCCTAACCCTAATTCCAGGACTCCCGGACGATTTAGCATCCTTGATTCTTGCTTTTCTTCCGTTCTCTCATCACGGGCGACTCAAATCCATTTGTAAATCATGGAAACAATTTTTCTCATCGAGAACCCTACGCTCAATCCGCCATAAACACATCCCTCTCTTGAAACGCTCTCACATCCTCTGTATCTTCCCTCAAGACCCTTCCATTTCTTCGCCTTACCTATTCGACCCCCAAAATCTCGCCTGGTGTTATCTTCCTCCGATGCCATGTAATCCTCACGTATATGGTCTATGTAATTTCACATCTGTTTCTCATGATTCTCGCCTGTATGTACTTGGTGGGTCCCTTTTTGATACCCGATCATTCCCACTTGACCGCCCATCTCCTTCTTCTGCGGCTTTCCGATATGATTTTGTGACACAAAGTTGGGATTCTCTTCCTCCCATGCTTTCACCCCGTGGGAGCTTTGCCTGTGCGGCAATCCCTAATACTGACCGGATTCTTGTGGCTGGCGGTGGGTCCAGGCACACCATGTTTGGTGCTGCGGGAAGCAGGATGAGATCTGTGGAGATGTATGACATTAGGAGGAATGAATGGGTGGCATTGGATGGATTGCCCAGGTTTCGAGCAGGATGTGTTGGGTTTATGGTGGGGAATGTGGATGAAGAGAAAGAATTTTGGGTTATGGGTGGGTATGGCGAGTCAAGGACAATTTTGGGTGTTTTTCCTGTAGACGAGTACTACAGGGACGCTGTGGTGATGCAGTTGAAAAATGGTGGGGTTGGGAAGTGGAGAGAGCTTGGGGATATGTGGGAAGAAGGAGAGAGGAGGCAGCTTGGAAGAATTGCAATTGTTGAGGATATCAATGGTGGTTCTCCTGGAATTTTCATGCTCGACAAGAATGATATATTCAGGTATCTTGTATCCATTCACACCTTCTACACTAATGTTGTGATTTCAAGTCATATGGATTCTCAATTGCATAATTCCAACATGGTTACAGGTATGACATGACTTCAAACCACTGGTGGAAGGAAACCAGTGTGCCAAAAAGAGCAACAGATGAGTCATCAATGGGGTTCGCCGCTCTAAACAGTGAGCTGCATGTTATGGTCCTTTACAATGGAGCTGATTCAGCAGAGAACCGAAGGTTGAGACGCAATAAAAGGTCAGCATCTATATTCCTCCAAATATACCACCCTCAGAAGAAGATATGGAGAACCCTAATCACCAAGCCACCATTTCAACAACCTTTAGATTTCAAAACTGCAGTTATGTGCACTATTCGACTCTAACTAGACTCCATCACTCCATTCATATCTTTGATGGCTCTAGTGTATGTATTTCTGTTTACTACCATATAAGTTTGTTGTTGTATCACTACTTGTACATTGTACAGCATGTTGTCGAATCAATCATAAAGAAAATGTATGTTTGCTTCATGTTATCATCGTGTGTGTATATACATAAGATTAAGAAAAGTAAATAAGTTTATTAATTATTCAAGTCCTTGACTAATTTCTTTTTCCTAAAACAAACCATTAATGGCGACACAAGGAACACTCATAGAACAGTATTTATCTGAATTCACATTCTTGTAAACCATCTTATTACAACATAAACCAGGTAGAGCTAGTACAAAGTACCACATTTAAAAAAAGAAGTCAACTCAGGGTCAAAACTCACTGAACTCTGTCTCTTACTTGGAGACAGATAGCGTTTAAGTTGCTGCTGTGGTTAATTTTCCTTTCTTTTGTGGAAAGTCGTGTGCACCTTCATGTTCATGTTCATGAGTATGACTAGAAGTACTACTAGCTATGCCTCTGTTATCTTTAGCTGTTAAAAAGGTTGCTGTTCTAACGCCATGTGAGGAGGCTACTTCCCCAAAGCTGAAATCAGGAAAAACTCCACATCCTTGACCTTCCATGCTGGTCCCACTTTCGCTTCGTGGGGCCTGAATCCCACTGCCAATGCCAAGCTGGCTCTGTAACACGTGTTGCTGCTGCTGCTGTATCATTGTAAAGGGTGGTTGCTGAGGGAACACTGTGTGTGATTGAGTCACCATATGGGAATTGGGGACCATCTGTTGCAATTGCTGTTGCTGCATGGATACCATCTTTACCATCTTATTATACATATCATCAACACAAAATAAAAAAGAAACAGTATGTTGATATATATATATATATATATATATATATATATATAAACCTGGAGTTGAGTAGAAGATGACTTTGGTTGACAGTCGGCTATTGCAGCCAAATACATGAGATTGTGCTGTAGCCTTGTTTGGTTTCTGATAAAAAGAGCATAGTTTTTATCATTCTTTATGTCCATATAATATTGGAGGAAGAATACAATTTAAAAAAAAAAAAAAAAAAAAAAAAAAAGTAGACTCACTCTGCACATTCACTGAACTTCCCTGTACTCTGATTTTCCAGAATGTTTAAGATCAGTGTCTTGTTTTCATCCAAATACTGCACAAATCAATTTAAAAACAGCCATTAAGTTAAAAAGTAGCCACTATTGTAACTCATGAGAGAGAGAGAGAGAGAGAGAGAGAGAGAGAGAGACCTGTTGGATATGATCAGTAGTAATAGTGGTGGTGTTGAAGGCAGCTGTGGGTGTGGGGCGGTGCTGCATCTGGTGCATGAGTTGTTGCTGCATGTTTGTATCTCTGTGATGTGATCTTCTGATACAGCTTTTGTTTTTTTAAAGTTATTATCCACCTGATGCTCTGATAGATATAGATAGATAGATAGAGGACCCTTTCTTTCTTTTTTTTTCTTGATGTTCTCTTTCTGGTTATAAAGCTTGAGACTTATAAAAAAAGCACAAGTAAGGGAAAAGGTAAGCGGCATCCTGTGATCTTCTTTAAGGATGACATTTATTTTAATAGTTATCAAAGAAACAGGCGCACCTTTCTCTTGGGATTCTCCCTCACTCTCTTCAATGATACAACAAAGTCTATCTACAAATCCCAAGACTTGTTGTACATAATTTCATATTTATTTTAATTTAACAACGGTAGTTATTATTATGATGGTGAAAGGATGTTCCTGGTTAGGGACAGACGATAGTGGTGGTTTACGTTTCATAACATTCTTTTTAATGAGAGTAAATTTTGGATGGTAATAATGGATGATCATGTCTGTGGGACCGACTGACCAAGAATATAATAGCAGGCAGCAGAGGGGAACCACGTGAACGCATTTGCATTTGCATTGTATGTGTAAGTAAATGCCTTGGCCTTGCAGATGCAATATGGATAGTGTTTTGCTGGGTCGAGGGAGGTACGAGGGGATCTTCACCTCGTAACACGTACTTGCTACGTATGCACTAAATCTTAATGTCTGTCTTTCATTATTTTGTCCACAATCAACATTTTTAATAATTTCAATATATATATATATATATATATATATTATATATATATAGGGATGAGATCGGTTGAGAACTCATAGTTTCCCGATAACTAAAAGTGGAGCGTTGGATCAAAACTAATTCATTAAGGACATGATCGTCATCATACCAATCCAACTTAATTTTTTGTATTATTGCAAATATTAATAAAAAGCTCTCAAATTAACATTATAAAACAAATTTTCGGATTTATTTTATATAAAAAAAATAATTTTCGTTTTTTTTCTAAATTGCAGATTTTTTAACTTTTTTTAGAAAGCATAAATTTTTAAAAATTTTGAAATTTTTTTTCAAAAAAACTGCAATTTTTTTTAAAAAAAATATTGCATTTTTTTTAAAAAAAAAACTTTAATTTTATCAAAAAAACTGAATTTTTTTTCTAAAATACTGCAATTTTTTTCAAAAAAAGTGCAACTTTTTCAAAAAAAAAAAAACTGCAAAATTTTTAAAAAAATATAAATTTTAAAAAATCAGTAAATTTATAAAAAAAAAACTAAAATATTTAAAAAAACTCTATTTTTTTTAACAAAAAAAAAATCAACATTTTAGTTGCATATATGCATATTTTTTTAAAATGAATATATGCATATTTCTTATACTATAATATTCGTAAGTAAATCATAAAAAATCTCATTTTTATTAATCAATCTATAAATATAATAGTACAAGTATTTTATTCGATACAAAATAAAAAATAAAAAATGCTATAAATATTCACATTGTTATCATTTCTTCATATCAAGATTTTCATATTTTCTTCAATTTATCACTTTTCACCTCTTCAATATTTTCCACAAATTCTTCAAAATCTACAAGAAAATTAAAAAATTTGATTAATGCAAGAAAACTCACAAAAATGCACATGTAATTTACATCTGAATTACATGTGATTAATATGTGAATTACATATGAATCGCATATAATTCATATGTGATTCACATTCACTTGTGAATCACATGTAATTCATATACACAAGTAATTCTTATGTGATTCACTTGTGAATCATATGTAATTCATATGTGATTCACTTGTGATTTACACATGTGATTAATATGTGAATTACTTGTGATTTACATGTGAATCACATATAATTCATATGTGATTCACTTGTGAATCACATGTAATTCATATGTGATTCACTTTTGAATCGCATGTGTTATTTACATGTGAATCACATGTAATTGATATGTGATTCACTTGTGATTTACATGTGAATCATATGTGAATTACATATGATTTACATGTAATTCATATGTGAATTACATGTTATTTACATGTGAATAACATGTAATTCATATGTGATTTACATGTGAATTACATGTGATTTACATGTGAATCACATGTAATTCATATGTGAATCACATGTAATTCATATATGATTCACTTGTGATTTACATGTGAATCATATGTAATTCATATGTGATTCACTTGTGAATCACATGTAATTCATATGTGATTTACATGTGAATCACATGTAATTGATATGATGGAATCATGTAAAGGAATGGAATTACTTTATCAAGTCTTGATTATGATCAAATTCCATAGAGTTGAGGTGTTGTGTTTACCTTATACACTTATCAAGTCTTGATTCTTCAACATTTAGATGTTGAAGCTCAGTCGGTCATCAACAACAAGAGGGGAGGATTTTGTTTGAAAGAATCGCTCCTTCAATATATTGTGTAAGGCCTGTATTTAGGATCAAGAAACACAGACACAGTTAAACACACACATTAAGATAAGTGATATATATAAAGAGAGATAGACACAAAGTACATGAGTAAAAAAAATAAATATAAATCCCAATAAAAGTTGCTCTAGAAATTATGCATCAAATAGTTGTATTAAAAAAACAAATAACAGTTGTCCTAACAAGCTAAATGTTCTATAATAGTAAGAGAAGAACTTATAAGTTATATTGGCTCTTGCCTAAAGTACATGAGTTAAAGCATCCTCTTGGCTAAAGTATATATTTGATTTGATGAATAGACAAGATTATGAATTTCATGAAATTCTAAGGCATTATGGACAAGCATCTCAAGATAAGGCAATCTTTAGGAAGCTGAGCCAATCCCTCACAGAAGATGAAAAGGCCCCAATTGCAAACTTGTTTTCTAAAACAAGTGAATTTTTCATGTCCCATATGTCAACATTTAGCAAATCAGATGATAATACTTCAAAAGAATGCAACAAGAAATATAAGGTAGCTGCTAATGCTAATCCTTGTTGGACACATACACATGTGCCAAAAATTTGATGAATACATTACATTTCTGAAAAAGGTTTTCCCAATAAATTATATAAACTTTTGTATACGACAGCTAATACTTTCTATTAGCAACATGCAGAAAGCGCACACTGACAAATAAACTATTGTGTTTAGTTGGTATGCAGTTATATTAACTAGAAATATTAGCAAACTACAGATTGTACCTTCAACGAGCAGTTCTGGTGGAACAACAGCAGGAGCATACAAATTTACAAAAGTTATTAACAACATTTTCTTTTCCAAAAATAAGTTTTTCAGGGTGAAAGAGTTGGCGATAAGTTCCTGTTCTAACTTCATCAATGACAGTTGGCTCAAGATCAACAAATATTGCTCTTGGAACATGCTTTCCTACTCCAATTTCACTAAAGAATGTGTTGAATGCATCATCTACAACTCCAGGTGTGGTGTCACTGAAAAAAGAAAGAAAGAGTTTGATTTATTAGCTGCATTGTGCATTGTAAAGATCTATTTGGAATCTGAGTGAATCGGGAGATTAAACTGTTGGAATTTTCATAGTCAGTAAAAGGAAAGAAGACATAATGTTCATTGTATTGCAGTCAAAGAAAGTCAACCACATAGATCCATCGAATTTTAGCTTATGAACTTGAGATCCAATTTTGGATCACTTCAAACGCATTTAATCGGATAATTTTCCATTTCTAATGATATAAGAGGTAAGATCCTTAAATGTATGACCTAACGAGCCCTTTACCACAAATTCAAATCCATCGAGAATCAGAAATTGAAATCATAGAACAAAAACATAGTAAGAACCATGATGTAGAGGTGAGATTCGGAGTTTTCATCTCTAAATCTGGGATGAAGATGAACATGAGGGAGAGAGAAAATCAGTAAATAGAGTGAATAACAAAATTGCGAGACCTAACCATCATCCTTCGAATTCGATAATTGAAAGTCTCTACCAAACAAAATCATGATGGATAACCGGCAGGAGAGAAGATTTAGTGACGTGCTTGTGTTAGGGTTTGGTTATTCCTGAGCACTACGAGAACAATTGACAGCTCCAAATTTGATATTTATTTTTCCAGGAGCGATCATAGCCGGAGAGCTGTGACAGATGCTTTGTACCGGAGACGAGCATCATTAAGAACTCCACCGATTTTGTCGAAGATAATATCACCATCGGTGAGGAAAGTCATTGAGGCGGGATGAAGAGAGAGAGATAGGGAGAGAAAGGGGTCTGAATTATTTATTTACTAAAATGCCCCTTATTCATAATAATTATGATGCCCCCGTGTCTTTTTTTTCAAACTATTTACAAAAACGCCATCGAGCATCCTAGCCTTCTATTATTTTGATCTAACGGCTCACATTCGGTTCTCGGGTTCTCGGGAAACTTTGAGTTCTCAAATGATCCTTGCTCTCTCTCTCTCTCTATATATATATATATATATATATATATATATATATATATATATATATATATATATATATATATATATATATATATATATATATATGAGACGGTTCACTTGAGATTAAAAAAAAAATATAGATCTTGAGATTCAACCTCAGCCACATATTTCTCATTTGCTGCTCTAACGCTCCAGCATACCGGCAACAACATGGTATGTCTAATCATAAATGATTATATGACAGAGAAGCATAATGTAACACCCCGTTTATTAAATAAATAAATGAGAAAATTAATAAATTAATAGTAGCCCTAAAATCCGTAATAATATAGCAAGGTGTTGGTCCCGAGGGTTAATTGCTACAATTTTAGAAGTTGGGGGTTAAAAATGTAAATTATAGATTTAATTTGAAAAGGATTTCAGAAGTCAGGGTGCGTTTGGTAATTAATGGACTTAAATTGAAAAGATTTGAAGGCTTAGGGGGCTGGTTGGTAATTTCGGGACTTATTATGAAAGGAATTAAGGAAGCAAGGGGCTATTAGGTAAGTTTTGGACTTAAGAGAATAAAGGTTTGTGAAGGAGGGACTGATTATGTAAAA